GCCTCTCTCCCTCTCCAGGGCATTTGCAAGGAACTTGGGGACAAGACAGAAGCAAACGGGCCCAGGGTATAGCTAGAGATTCAGGCAGGATTTTCTGACGTGGAGGCAAAACGGGAGAGGTTTCACCTGGGGTGATGCCAAGCACAGATGTTCCCCTGCCTGTGACACATGCATCTGTTCCGGCCAGGGGAGGCCCATCACCTGGCTTTAGGGGACAGCTTCTGGCTCTTCCACGGAGGGTGGCCATGTCAAGAGAATGACCTTGCCCATGAGGCTTCTCCACTGGCCCCACAACAGCCCGCCCTGGCCCTTCTGAAGGCCCACACCTTGGCTTGAGGGCCGGAGGGAAGGGCTCCCCGAGCGGTACCTGGAGCTGGAAGGGTGTGGAGGCGGGCACCCACTCAAGGGTGGGGAGGGGGCCCTCAGGAGCTTTCCCCGCTGGCTGTGCCTCATTGGACTCAGCTCAGATGCCCACTTGGTGCCAGGAAGCCCACTGAAGCCCAGAGAGGGGCAGGGACTTGCCTAAAATGGCAGGACTGGGCTCAGTACCTGGGCTCTGCTCCGTCCCCACCTGCCCGGGCAGCACCTTCAGCCGAGTGCCTGGGGCCTCCTCCCAGCACTGGCCCATCCAGAAAACGGGGTCGTAACTTTTGTCGGCCCTCTCAGGTGTGGTGAGTGTCGCCCAGACCAGAGGCCCTGGCTGGGCTCCTGGCAGGGAGGCAGGGATCCCATGTGCCCGTTAGCCAGCATTCCCTGAGCACTTACTAGGTGTTGGCGCATGCTAAGTGCTTTCCAGGCAGTGCCTCCTCGAGTCTCTCCAGCCATGTCAAACTCGAGGCTGGACAGGCCACGAGTTTGACATGCTTGCTCTACACTGAGCCCCCAAGGAGGTCTACTTCCCATCCTGATCTTACAGGTGAGGAGGCTGAGGCTCAGAGAGGGGTCCCTGGCCCAGGGTCACCTGGAAAACCCTCTCTTGGGGGTTGTAGCCTGGGTCGCTCACCTGCACAGCCAACGCTAGGACCACGTCCCGCACCCAGAAAGAGTCCCTGAGGGCCAGGGTCCCCGGCAGCCTCCTCATGGGTCTCAACCCTCCCATGTGGACACCTCTGGTGACAAGCACGGCACCTTCCGCTTCCTGAGCAGCCGCCCACTGTGCTGGAGGCAGAGCGGGGGGTCTCTCCCGTCCCTGCAGTCCCTGCCCTCTCCCCACCCTGATGCCCAGAGACTCATCTCCCCGCAGCCTCTACCTTGACCGCAGGGACCCATCAGACAGGGATCGGATCCTGACTGCCTCTCGGCAGCCTCAGGCCAGTCTAACCTTCATCCCTGGAGCCTCTCATCTCTAGAATGGGGGCGGTCAGTATTCATTTCACAGGGCCGGTGGGAGGGTTCGATGCGATCCCACGGCGACAGGGCTCAGCACACCGCAAGCACGCGGTCACACTCACTAGTCAGAACATCCCAGCGTCAGAGCCTGCAGCCAGGCGTGAGCCCAGGGAAGCCTGAGGACACGCTCCTGGGGCACTGGCTGCTCCGGGCCCTCAAATCCTCGTCTCGGGGGTCCTCCAGTGGGGGTGGAGTCCTCGGTCCAGCTGCTGAGGAGGAACTGGGCCTGGCCTCCCACGCCCCGTCTTGTCCCCTCTGCACGCGAGAGCGAGGCTGGGAAGGTCCGAGGTGGAGAGCCTGGCTGGGCCGAAGCTGTTGGGATGGGCCTCGGCCCTGTAGGAAGGACGGACTTTTCTCTGCCGGGTTTCACCTAGTCCCTTGCTCTCTCGGGCTGCCCAGGGGCCTGCAGAGGTTTCCTGGCGGCCAGGAGGGCTGCCTCTGGACCGCTGCACTCCCCCCACACACACACCCCCACCTCCTCGCATGTCTTTCCTCCCTGGAGGTGTCATCTCAGCAAGGTTTCATTTGGGGCTGGAGGGGTGGGGATGGTAGGGGGTGCCACCCTTCAGAAGACCCCTGGGGGTGCCGGGGGGGGGGTCAGCTCCTTGGCCTGCCAGGGAGGACCCTTGCCCCTGAGCTGTGCCCAGTGGTGACAGCCCACCCACAGCCTCCCCTCCCCCTCCAGCTCCAGCCTGTGTGAACTTCTCAAATATTTGCTTTCCCTGGGCTCTGGTTGGGCTGGGCCGGGAGGGGAGGGAGTTTCTGAGGCTCCCAGAGGCCGCCCTGCCTCCTGTCCACCCCTGCAGGCTGTCCTCGGTGAAGAGGCCATTTCAGAGCTGCCCCTGGGGTCCAGGCCCGGCAAAGCCTCCCTGGGAGCCGGGGCAGGGTCTCTGCCTTCCCTTTTTCCTGGGGATCAGCCACAGCGCCTCATCCCACACAGAGGGAGGGTTGGAGATCCTTGGGGCTGGGGCTCTGCTGGGCCAGGACCCAGCGGCCATGGGAAGCACGTCAGCCGGAAGAGCCCCTTGATTAGACTGGACAGCTCGGTCGCCAGGAGCCTGGCCTCCCTACTGGGAAACCCCCCCCCCAACTTGGAGCTTTGGGCCAGGCTGGGATAAAGGCCACACTGTGTCCCCAGGAGGGGAAGGAGGGGAGCTGGGGGTGGAGAAAGGTGGCTCTGTTGGCCGCACAAGGCCCCATTCAGCCCAGGGCCTGGCTGTCCCGGCCAGGCTGGCCAGGCCCTGCGGCTGTCACACCCTCCCCGGCCTGGGAGCCACTGCTGCTGCCGGGATGGGTGCTGGCTGGGCTGGCAGCAGCTTCCAGGGCACAGAGTAGCGCCCTCAGGGGCCCCAGTAGTGACCTGGAGTGCCTGGAGCCCTGCCCCCCCATACGGTGCCTCTGTCCGGTGCCATGGGGAGCAGCCAGGGCCACATCCGGGGCAACATGGTGCCCCTCAGGCGGCTCAGCCCCAATCCCCCGCCAGGCCCGGGGGAGCCCCAGGGACACAGGACCTGCCATCTACTGCTTTCACCTCCCTGGAGGGAGGATGTGACTGTAGGCAGGAGGCCCAACTTCCTGATTGTCAGGGAGGAGGGAGGCACAGAGGCATCTGTTCCAGGGCCAGGACTTCCTCCTGCTCCGGGCTCTGTCCTGGGTCCTCTGTCCCGCCAGGGCCCAGGAGCCTCCCTCGCCCGGGGCAGGGAGCCCTGCAGCCCTGTGGCATCTCACTCCCTCCCCCATCTCCCCGCAGAGCTCCTACCCCATCTGGGAGGACTTCAACTCCAAGGCCACCAAGCTGCACTCCCAGCTAAGGTGAGGCTGCTGAGGGCGCCCCGACTCGGGGAGGGGGAACCGGGGGAAGTGGACACCTCACAGCGGACCCTCCACTGTCCATCTCCCCAGGACCACTGTGCTGGCTGCTGTGGCCTTCCTGGACGCCTTCCAGAAAGTGGCCGATATGGCCACCAACACCCGAGGTGGGGAGGGGCGCGGCTGGAGGTCAGGAGGGGGAGGGGGGCCAGGTTAGGCTCAGAGGCTGGACTGTGAGCGGGGGAGAGGACATGGGGCCCAGGGTCGGGATCTTGAGCTCTGCTCCCTCGCGGAAGGGGCTGGCTGTTGAGAAAGGGAGCCTCTGGTCACTAGAGGCTGCGAGCAGGAGAGGGGGACGGGGGCCACAGGGGCCTCTGTTCTTGCTGGGGGTGCCCCTTTGGCCCCTCAGCCACAGGCGTTCACCCTTCTGCTCAGTGAGTCTGAGGACGGCGACTTATCACCGCTCACACCGCTCATTGCCCTCAGAGGGCACAGGGGCAGGCGAGCCTTCCTGTTGGCTCTGCGTCTCCTTTGCTTTCTGGTCTGAGGAGCAGGGACCTGGGTCCCCTGTTCCTTCAGGTGGTGAGAACCAAGGCACTGGGCTGGGGCTGGCACTCCCACACCTGCATCTGGGCACCCCTGGAGGTGGTTCCTGGTAGGGGGAGGGGACTTGGGCTGGCTCTTGGGCTGTCTTTGGTTCTGACCTCTCCCAGCCGAGTGAAGGGCCCCTGACCACAAGAGCACCTGCAGCTGCAGAAGGCTGGCGTGGCCGGCATGGGCAGGGCCGTGGTGGGGCTCCGTAGCTACTGGGGAATGATCATTCCGCCACGGGACCGGGAACAGGACCGGCAGGGCTGTGGGATGCTGGGGACAGGTTGGGCCGGACGCGGCCTGGCCTTCGCGGGGCCAGCGCGCCCCCTCGTGGCCGAGGCCGGGAGTGCAGCGGTCCCGATGGGCCCTTTCCCGTGCCACGCGCTTGCCTCGCCAAGCTGCGGCAGTTCACCAAGTGAGTGGGCGCCGCGGGCGGGCGGGGGTGTGGCAGGAGACACCCCTGCTGGCCCTGACCTGCACCCCGTGTCCGCAGCGCCCTGCTGGAGAGCCTCATCAACCCGCTGCAGGAGCGCATCGAGGACTGGAAGAAGTCGGTCAACCAGCTGGACAAGGACCACGCGAAAGGTGAGGCTGGGGCTGGGGCCCGGCCGGGTGCCCGCCCCCACCCTGCGGGGACCCAGCACAGCTCTCCTCTCATCACCTGCAGAGTACAAACGGGCCCGGCATGAGATCAAGAAGAAGTCGTCAGACACGCTGAAGCTGCAGAAGAAAGCGCGCAAAGGTAGAGCCAGAGCTGCCCATCCAGGCACAGCCCCCCGGGGCCCCACTCCATGGACCCCACTGCCCTCTGGGGTGTCCCAGGGCATCATCCTGGCCAGAGGGACCCTATCCTGGACACAGGACCCTCCGACCTGTTGGGTGGGACAGAGGGAGCCTCCCTGCACCCAGACCAGGCCCCAACCTCCCCTCTCAGGAGGTGGCAGGAGGCTCCACCAGCCCAGGCGCCCCCCGCCCCCACCCCACCCCCGGAGTGGCTCTGTCCATCGGCTGTCTTTCACACATACTCTTTCTCTGTCTCTCCTCTTCCTTCCACATCCTTCCTGTAGAGCTACTTGGTAAGTCAAATGTCCATCTCTCCAGCTGCTTCTCCCGTCCTTGTCGCATTTGTCTGTCTCCCCAGCTCAGGACCATTGGAAAGGGCTTCCCCCGGCCGAGGAGGTCGGCCTAGCGAGGGTGGGGCCTGGGGCACAGTTCCCCGGGGGCCCTGTGGCCACTGCTGGGTCAGTCTGCCAGGTCAAGAGAGGTTGGGCTGCCCTGGGTGGGGGCCACAGGCCTTGTCTGCCTTGCCCCCGCCCGCCCGCCACCCAGAGTTCTTACCTGTCACCCCCCCCCCCCACTTCCTGTCTCATTGCTCCTCTACATCATCCTCTCGCCTCTCTCTGCTTCTCGGTGTCGCCATTGCTGTCCTGTGCGTTGCTCCCTGAGCTGAGTGGGGGCCCACATGGAGACACCCCTCTCCCCTGCTCTCCTGACCAGGGCCTGGAGGACAGCTGAGCCCCATGCTCTACTTTGCTCTGTTTCCACCCCCACCCCCTCCAGTACCCCAGGAGGCGAGAAGGTGCCATCCTGCAGGCAGTGAGCGTCCTGGGGGTGGAGGTCTCCTCGGGGCCCCCTGAGCACAGCTGTTCCTAGGGCGGCCCTGACGCTGCCCAGGACTGCCCACCCCAGGGCCTGGGTGGCTTGGCAGCTTTGGTGTCTTTCCTGTGTATGTGTCTGTCTGTCTTCTTTGCCTGCTCTGGGGACCAGCCCCTCTACACGGCCCAGAGTCCTGACTGCCCTCCCCGGGTCCCTGGCCCCCACGGCAGTGCCCAGCCCCCAGCCAGGGACACCACCACGGGGCCTGAGCCATGGACGCAGCGAGCGGGCCGGGTCCCCAGCACGGCCTCTCCTCCCCACCCTCCAGGGAAAGGCGACCTGCAGCCCCAGCTGGACAGCGCCCTGCAGGACGTCAACGACATGTACCTGCTGCTGGAGGAGACGGAGAAGCAGGCGGTGCGCCGGGCCCTGATCGAGGAGCGCGGCCGCTTCTGCACCTTCATCACCTTCCTGCAGCCTGTGGTGGTGGGTCCCTGGGGCAGCGGGCTGTGAGGCATCCCACACTGGGCCTGGCTGGGGCCCCGGGTGCTGCCGTCACCACATCCAAGAATCAGGGTTTGGGAACTACTGGGCATGCGCCCGTCTTTTTTAATATATTTTTATTGATTTCAGAGAGGAAGAGAGAGAGAGAGATAGAAACAATGATGAGAGAGAATCACTGATCAGCTGCTTCCTACACACCCCTACTGGGGATCGAGCCCGCAACACGGGCATGTGCATGTGACTGGAATCGAAACCGGGACCCTTCAGTCCACAGGCTGAGGCTCTGTCCTCTGAGCCAAACCAGCCAGGGCGTCATGCTCCATTCAGCAGCAGTGAGCAGCGTAGAGTTCCTGTCCCCAAGTCTTTCCTTCCGTTGTCACAC